GAAGGTCAGACGTGTATGGACTCTGGGTATGTTAATTTTGGACATAACGATGCGACCTGTCTCTAATGTCCTCTAGCCTGCCGTATGGACATTGGGCAACCTTGGCCGAGCTGGCTTTGGTGCTACTCTTGACGGTCTATGGCCATACGTGAGTTTTGTTGATCAATGCAACCCAATCAGAGGCTAAATGAGTTCATTAGACTTATGAAGCTTGCGATGTTGGTACCTTACCAAACCAGACCCTAAATGGCCTGCCTGAAGCAGCACTTACAACCGGAGACTCAAACTTTAATATGGAGCTATCATTCCTTCCGGGGCAAAGACTCTCGGCATGCACTTGCGAAGGAGAATCTCACCCAGGGCCCAAGAAGCGAGATGGCACTTTTATTGGCCGTTCAGCTCCTGAAATCGACGTTATCGAAGCACAGGTCTCAGTAGAAGACCGTATTGGTCACGTCTCTCAATCAGTCAGTCTCAAGATGGTTATTACTGGCATGCAGGCTGATCGAATTTCAGGGACAATGGGCTCCTTTCGATGCCTTTTATTCGTGGAATAACGCAACATATATGGAGATCTATGACCACACCGTCTCCGAACTCAACACATATAGGGGCTCAGTGTTGCAGCAGGCCAGTTCAGTAGTGTCCATCACCGATCAAAACTGCTATGAAGGAAATACTGGGTGTTTCTCTGTTTACGGCTTCGAATATAAGGAAGGATATGAAGAAGATGGTGTGTAAGGAAAAATTGCCCAGGATTACGGACTGAAGTGTTTCTAGGTGCCTACATTACATGGATAAATGACAACAAAAAGGCCTGGCGAGTCGGTGCCGGTGGCCTGGGAGCCAACCCGCTCTCTGAAGTCAGTGCTCGACCTGTTCCCAAAGAACCAATGGTGTGTCAAATCTTTTCCTCTCTTGCGTCATTAATAACCCATCTATACCAGTATATCATTGTGAACTTGGGATTGTCAGAGAATTTCGGACAGATCGACTACGATAATCTCGTCTTTCCTGTTCACATGCTTGTCGACTACATCAGGGTCTATCAGCACCCTGATAGAATCAATATTGGGTGTGATCCACCAGGCTTCCCAACAAGTAACTACATCAATGCCTATCCAGAGGCGTATTCGAATGCAAATCTAACGGTAAGCTCGCTCTATTTTCTATCTTGTACAATCACTCATATTGTACTCTAGACTTGGGTGGATGATTATCAACAGCCATGGCCAAAGAATAGATTGGTGGACAATTGCTAAAGGACGATCCCTCGAGAGGAATGGAAACCATACCCTATTCGTCATATAACTATAGGACATATTCAGATCTCTCAGAACATTCTTGTCTCGAACCCCTGCCATGTTATCTCCCCCGTGTTCACGTACTAGATTCGCTTTTTGTTCCCTTCTCTCTCTCTCCCTCATGTTACCGTATCTACTACAATGCTAGATTTAGCATAGCATCACATTCAATTATACTGATTTTGAGACTGAATCTTGTTTGTGGATCAGCGGCTACGAACCTTGGCCGTTAGAAATTGCGCGGGCCCTGCCAAACTGGGAGGTTCATCGCCAGCCACAAAGTATGGACACACAGAGTACCACATGATTTGACTTGTTAACCAGTCGTATGGAGTCATGAGAATGCAGGAGGCTGCAATTTACTAATGGTGGTCAAATAGTAGATAGCAGAGGCAAGGTGTAGACGCCGAGCTTTCGAGGACAGTTCTTACCCTGCCTTGTCTATCACCCGAGAATGACAGACGATTCTAATAGACCGTTGAGGCTTCTCTCTCTTGGTATGTGCGTTACTTGGATATTCGGTTCATGGCTCATCATTTGCATACGATCAGATGGCGGAGGAATTCGTGGTTTCTCAGAGTATGTATATCTCCATTCTCGAGTGACGAGGTGTCGATGTTCCATCACACAGGTTAATTATGCTCCAAAACATAATGCACCGTCTTGCATGGGATCTAAAGCTGGACGAAACAAAGGAGATACTGCCTTGCGACTACTTCGTGAGCCCAGATAGCAGTATACTACACCACAACCTCTAACAATAGACTGATCCAGGATCTTATCGGTGGAACATCAACTGGTGGTATTATCGCTGTCTTACTGGGTCGACTACGATTGTCTGTTGAAGAGTGTCTTGACTTGTACGCAACGCTCTCGGAGGAGGTCTTTGGACAAAAACGGTGGAGCTTGGGAGGACTATGGCAATCGAAATTCGATCATCGCATTCTAGAGCGTGTGATCAAGGAGACATTGAAAGATTTGCGCGACAACAAGAAGTGGGACGGCAGATCGAAGCCAGATTTAGAGGCTGGTGAGGGTGCTATGATGCATGACACACACCCAACACCTTGCAAATCGTACGTTTTGTTTGATTGAAGTTAGTACTGTGTTCTCAGACGCTGTAGGTTCGTATCAGCAACGCCCGGAGACCAAGTACAAAAGGACAGGCCTCGACTCTTCAGGACATACCCGAGTCGTCTGGGTAATGCAGTCCCAGATTGCCCCGTCTGGCAGGCAGTTCGAGCGACTAGTGCTGCACCGACCTTCTTTGATCACATCATCATCGACGGCCTCGATTATGTCGATGGGGGATTTGGGTGCAACAATCCCAGCCGACAAATCTACGAGGAAGCGATGGAGATATGGCCTGATCGGGAAATAGGGTGTCTGATTAGTCTTGGGACGGGTATGCCCCGTGTGCTTGCCCTGGACAATCCGACGCTCTTGGATAGGTTCTGGCCAAAGGATTGGGTAGAAGTATTGGTTCGCGTGGCGACAGAGTGTGACGAGGCTCACCAAGAAATGTCAGCTTTGAGATCTATGAGAGGAAAATATTTCCGTTTCAACGTCCAGCAAGGGATGCAACGGATATCCTTGGAGGAGTGGAAGAAGCTCGGGGAAGTCGGGACACACACTGACCAGTAGGTTATCTTCTAGGTCCTTTTGTTCATATTTACTGAGTCTCTCTATAGCTATATGCGAGATGCAGAAATATCCCGAAAGGTGAACAATGCCGTCAAACTACTTATGCCTCAAGAGGAATATGAACCAGATCCCTACGAACCCGATAACCGGAGAGGTAGCGACGAAGATCTTCCAAGTTATGATAGAGCAGTACGTCGGTAGAAATTGTATGATTTTAGATACTGGTCGCACGTTTATTTGTGGCATCGAGTTAAACCCGAGACCATAATTGGCCCGTCGCGTAGTGTACATCACAAAGCAAAGATTTACCTGCCCCCAACCTGGACAACTAGAGGACTATACTATTCTACTAATTTCTTCGCCAGTCTTTTTTAATTCGTTAACACACCATGGAGACTGTCTCTCCTGTATCAACATCGTCGCCGTTAGGCTTTCCAATCGACAGCGAGACCTCCTTGGGAGCACTATACCAATCCTTTCTGATGATCATCGCCTCTGAAATCGGGGACAAGACTTTCCTCATCGCAGCAATCCTCTCTATGCGACATCCGCGACTCGTTGTCTTCCTCGGAGCCTTCTCCAGCTTGGTAGTCATGAGTATACT